ATAAAATAAAAAACTTGAAAAACTAAATCCTTGAATTCTTTGACCATATTTTGCATCTCTCCAAGAAATTTCTAACCTGAAAAATAAAGTCCTTGAATTCTTTGACCATATTTTGCATCTCATATGAATAAACTAACTATTTGTAGAGATTGTTCTAGTCTTACAAAAGATAAAGTCCCACTAATCACACCCCTTCAAATGTCTTAACATTAAATACCTCTACCATGACATGAAGCATGTAAAAACAAAATGTCACTTTACCCATAGAAATTGCAAGTTCAACAGAAATTTTACTATAACCAACAACTTAATTTAAGAGGCTCTATCCATCTCAAATATTTAATGTTCTACAAAAGAAATACAATTGAATGTTGATTGTGCAAATACTTTGAGTACATTTCAAATATCTGTGGTGTGTTGAATGTCCGTGTCCCATACAAAAACACTTAACAATTAGGCAACCCTAGCCTGCAGCCCTTCATAAATATGCCAAAATTTTGAAAATGCATTCTTTCACTAAAATTTATCATTCAATGAACATGAGTTACCTGTACTGGTAAGAAGAATAAAAAGCAGTACAAGGTTCAGGTTTTTTTTCCTGGAACAACACTAAATTCCCCTGTTACAAACAAATATCACCATTAGCCAATCAAATCGACAAATCGAAAACTGAGAACAACACAGACCAAATAAGGGTATAGTTTCAAAATTAAAACAAGTTATTTTGATAAACCAAAGTCATCAATGAGTCTCTTTTTAGACTTTAGAACAAATAATTGGAGTGCTATAAATTTTCAAACTGTCTTCTACACCCAAGAAAATGGGAAAAATATAAAAATAAAAATCATTAAACAACACACAATAAAATCATCAAAACTAAAGAGCTTGAACTGCTAATCTATAAGAAAGTTACAATTTTCATGCATTTGAATCACATTTTGTGGAGATCAAGCATTCATGAGCAATAAAGATTCTATAAAAATGAAGAAATTACAAAGACGAAGCATCTCTATTGACATATCAAAAAAGCTCCATGAAATTTTTATATATTCAATAATCGCAACATTTAGTTCAAAAACAAAAACAAAAACAAAAGGAAATGAAAAAAATAAAAAAATAAATAAAAATAAAGCATTTGAAAGCAAACAATCAAACATATGCAACCTGTATAGCTAATATCTCGAAGTTAAAAAGGAAAAATGAAACTGGGTACTTTCAATATATATATATACAGTGATGAAGAAGAAGATTGGAAGTTGTGTGGTGAGACTAAAGTCGAACAGAGCACTACAGTCATCAGTTGCTCTAATAATTTTAACAGAAAATTGAACAACCCAAACACATAAAACTGCCAATAGTTCAACCCAAAAAAGAAAAATAACATCAGCTCTACTTGTTGTCCTCAAGAAATAGCTAATTCTCACCTCTTGAACTACCCGAAAAGCTTCCTAGTATGCAACACTAACACCAACAATCTCCCAATCTCAATTAACAAATCATATCAATTCAACCAGACATGCTGCCAAGAGTGAAAGTATGTTCCATTTCGTAAAGAGTAAAACTATGCTCCTGAGTCTTGACAATGCTTAAAAAAATGACAGCATAAAACAATGCTCCTGAGTCTTGACATACTTAAAAAAATGACAGCATATAATCATGCACTCTACATAGCAAACTGCAATAACAAACATTGAATTGTAAACTAACACAATATTTTACAAAAGGAGCAAGTTTTTGCAACAGAAGGTATATAACTCCTCTGTGAAATAACATAATTCAGCACAGGGATTCTACTTTGATACTTAATAATCATTGTCCATTTGACTGTTAATTAGATATTAAAAGAAATACATATGAATAAATACACCTTGCATCTTGGATTGAGTCTAACATTTGATAAGCATCTAACTAGACTGAGTTTGATGTTGTCAATACTTTAGAGGTGCTAAAATTTTGTTCTAAATTAAATATGCCCACTTAAAAGTCATAAAACTTTATAACATAAAAATAAATAAGCAGTAAGCAGTAAAAGACCTGAGTGGCAGGTTCTTGACTCATACCTCTGCAGTCGTCCCAACGGTTGCAAACCTCATCCTCCCATTATCAGGATCCCTATGAACCTGAACAAAATTTTACAAATAATGCTACTTTGAGATAAAAGGCTAGTAAAACAAATCCTAGGCACAGAGAAAATAACTATGAGCTGTTAATGACTTCACAAACCACGCCGATGGTATAAAGAGTATCAACTTGGCACAAAGCTCTTTCAATAGCAACTATAAAGTTAGGTTGTATAACTCTTAGAGGAAGGGTAGCCTCTGGAAACAGAACAACTCCTGGAAAAAATTTTATAAAATATATATATATACATATTAACAAAAATAAAGAAAAGGAATTAAAGTAATGAAGATAAGACTGAGACAAAAGAAGCCACTTAAATTGTTCCTAAGCCATGCGCATATGACACTAGGTCAATAAGCTAAACCAAGACCTGTAAATCACTGTCCCTCAGCTCTATGGCATTTCATGCTACTTGGTTAAGCTAAATCTTGAATTCATGAACTCGTAGGGCCATACATGAGTCACAAACCTCTGGCTCTTTCAAATGATTAGATGCAGAGCTATGGCTCTTTCAAATGTCAAAAGATCAAATAATGATGAGTGGTTCCTTAATTCTTGGAGGCTTCCAAGAAGTATCCTCACATATTGAGGTGTTTCTGTGTTGTGTGGGTTGAGTGGCTATGAGTATATATTGAGTGGTTCATTGTTCAAGGTTGTGAGTTCTCTAAACTAAGGGTCGAGTGATGAGAGTTCATATGGAGTGTTTTATTTCTATTAATGTCTGTTCTTTTGTAGGATTTGTTGGATGTGAAGAATTTAGGTTCACTAAAAATGTGGGTTGAGTGTTATGAGACCATATATATGTGGGTTTTTTGAGAGAGTAATAGAAGTAGAGTCTCGCAGCCAGAACATCAATGGTTTGCCTATTTAAGTTTTTCAAACGGGTAATACTTGCTGAGGAACAACTTTAGCCAGGAGAGCAGCAGCAATAAGCAATAATGTGATTTAACAAACATTATCAATCGAGTAAAGAATAACACAACACTTGACGTGAGCATAATTTGCCAGCTTTTCCAATATTCTTACAATATACCAGCATTAACAAGACCACTCTTTGTAGAACCGTAGAAAGGAATACAGCCGACAACCAATATATATAAGCTTCTGGTGCCTTGAGCTGAATTTGCCATATCTAATTGTTTTTTTTTTATTTTTATGAATAAGTCATAAATTAAACAACAAAAAAACTACAAGGGGTATACCCCAAGAGCTAACCAACTATACAGGGACACAGCAACCAACAAAACAAAAAAAAAAAAAAAAAAAACAAGAACACACTAGAAAAAGAACCATCATGTTCAAACAACACATGAGCAAGATGCAAATAAGGGGCAAGAACAAGGCGAACAAAAAGCCTTAGAACAACATAACCTGGGCACAACTTAACCACTAAAAAGATCCAAAATAACAAAAACCAGAACAAAACCCAAAAAAGGCAACAGCAAAGAACACAGCAACACCAGCAGGAACCAGCAACCAGGCAACAACAAAGGTAACAGAAAAGAACCAGCATACAAACAGCCAACTCTTCAACACAGTGACATATACAACCAGCAGCAAAAACAAGAGCTTCAACAATCAACAATTGGGACAAGATCCATCAAAATGGATTACTTGCTCCAGGCCATCATTCTGTTAAATGATCCTAAGAGAGCCAAGCAATCAACATATTAATAGGACAATTCAACAATAGGTAACTGCAAGACTCGCATAAAACTGGCTAATATCAATCAACCCACAGACAACACTCAACTCACACCAAGCAGTCAACTACTGAAAGAGAAAAAACTATACAACAATATACGCCTCAATCACTCAACCCTCAAATAAACAATTCCCCTAAAATAGACCAGCTGAAAACCTGCAAATAAACAGCAGAAAGTCAAGTCTAGGTTCTCACCAAACTCAACCCATAGAATCACAATAAACCCTCCTCGCTCACAGTCCTAGTATGGGAACAGTTAGCATCTGTCAAATTACATTTTCTATGTTTCATCAACTAGGCATATTCCATACAAGAATTGAGCCCAAATGGCAAGGATCTATTACTGCATCAATACCATAACTTGTCCAAACCAGATTACTTACTGAGATCAATTTTTTTACTACTCAATCCAATTTGCTTATCACCATCTCCTTCTTGTTCAGTCTTCTAATCATCATAACCAAAATTTCTAACCCACTAAGTCAAACTCATCATCTATTAAGGCTATTTTGGGAAGTTGCAATTTTAGCCACAAAAAAAAAAAAAAGAGCTTTTCGTAAATACCCAAAAACTACTAAGAGAGTCAATTCCCAAAACAACCATAAATCCTTATTCAAAACTCTTAATTCATATCTGTAACAAAACCAACTTGACCCAATTGCTTAATCGGGCACCCCCCCCGAAGATCATGAAAGTAGAGAGATGACACTCACAATTTCTCACGAAGCTGTGGGGTGTCCTTGGGGGTTCCAAGGGTATTGACAAGCCTATAAAATTATTTATTTTTTATTATTTGAAGAAGAAACAAGACATCACATCATTTACAGATTCTTTGGCTTTGATGTTGTAACTATTTATCCTTCACTGCAATGATCACATATAATGTAACATGCCAAGTGAAACATCTAGTGCAACCACTTCATTCCAGATTACAAGCATAAATTTGGCATTTCTCTGTTTAGTCTGTTTGGAGATATCAAATCAGCATTCGATTAAAAAAAATATAAACCATGCATCCCAGTAAGAATACTGATTAGAATAACTTACAATGTTTTAAGTGTAGCCAATTCACCAATGTAATCTGGGATTGGACCAGTAATTAGGCAATTTACTAAATATGATAAAAGTAATTACAAATGTAAATAAGTCCTCACAACTCGGTTATGTTTTTCAACTGGGATATGGTAGAAGGAATGGGGCCATCCATGGATGTGCCTTGCATGTGCCTGAAACAGATTATTTAACAATTACTTGAGATGTTCTTAGGTAAAATTAAAAAATTAAGAGAAAGCTTGTTAGAATTCCATAGGCAGGGAAAAGATTGCTAATGCATGGAACTACTAATGATAGTCACAGTGTTTTAATTTTTGTCCAGTTCCCAATCAGATCAGGTATCTTCCCAGATAGTACACTCTCATCTATCCTACTGCAATTAGTTGAAGAAGTTTTAGATTTACTAAAATTCAAGACTAATAAATGTCAAAATAATTACCACTTACAAATCTGTCAAGTTCTTCAATTTGCTGAATGTGTCTGGAATTGTTCCAGTAAAATTGTTGGCAGAAAGAAAGCTGCAGAAAACTATCCATTATAAATTCCCTTGAAACAACATGAGAACGATAGCACCAGTAGTGGCAATGTTAACATCATTTTGTCGCACTCAACTCAACATACAAAGATACCCAAAAGACAATGTTCAATGCATGTAAGAGATGTTTGACACTACAATCTCAGACAAAGACTACCATATATATTGGGACAGTTATAAACATACATAAAATTCATACAAAAAACTTGATAAGAATGATATGGCAATGCCATTATTATAAATAAATCCATCTTCAACGGTGTTTTGTTTTGAAGTGAAAGGTCTACAATGAGTCACATCATTATATATGAATTTTTTGTTTGTATAGCATTACTCTATATATTGATAGACACAATGATTGAATGTTGGGCAAGGCAAGAAATGCATCAACAATAATCACGATGCTTTTAAATTCAAAATAGCCATGCTCTCTTTCAATGTAGCTTAAAAAGATCACAAAATTTTTTATAATAAAAATAAAAAAATAAAAAAAAAGCCTTATGGAAACAGTACTGGGAAGTTAAAAAAGCAAGTTCTCATGGCACTTCTCATCCAATATTTGAAGGTCACAGCTGGACAGGATCATGCATACGAAACCCTTCCTGATCACATAGTTGTTTTTCAACACATTAATACTCTATCTCCAACCAGAAAAGCATTTTAGATAAGAAACTTCGGCAATGATAGCACCACCATGGAATTCGGTATATTCAAGTGTATACTTTAGAAGAAAGTATTAAGTTTAAAACAAAAAGAAAGAACTTTCTTACAGCCTCCTCATGCAGCTCAAATTTCCAAGGTTTTGATGAAGAGGTCCTCCAAGCTGATTATCTTCCAAGACCCTGTATAAGATAGTTCACGTTAAAATCAAGGTCAGGCTTCATTTATTAGTCCAGTAGACAGAACAGTATCCATGACTTACAGCTCCTCAAGAGTAGCAATGTCTCTGATTTGATTTCCTTTGGATTTGAACCATTAATGCGGTTTCCTAAAAGGGACCTTGCCTTTTGTTTATGATCAAACTCCCTTTTGACAAGTAACAAAGCAATTACCCACTTCTTGAGTGCATAACTTAAATTAGTTAATAGCGTTCTATAAAGCTTTATTGGATCTTGACAATTCTATTTTTGAAGAAGTTTCCACAGCCATCTGTGTTTTCTTTTTTGTTTCAAAAATAAAATTAAAAAGAAAAAACTGCACCTGAATCTCAAATGAGAAAGGAAGCCCATTGGCAAAGTTTGAAGAATAGTCTATGGCTGAAGGAGAAGCACGACATTATTGAGCTGGTACTTTCTTGAAGACAGCTCGGTTGTATTGGACTATTTGACAATTTTATACAGGAATACAGGAATTATTATAGAGCTATTTGATTGGGTTTATATGTATATGTGCCATATTGGAAATTATCAGGAACAAGTTTGTCATCTTTTCACATTGGAATTGTTAAGGCAATATTATGCTCCAAATTTTCTTTCTGAGGCGTAAAAGAAAGCAATATAAATGCTTTGCCTTTTTCTGTTTTAGCAAATTTCTAAGATGAAAGATGTAATGTTGTCTTCCATTCTTTAGTTAAAGGATATCATTAGAATAAGGTTAAAAAAATTTAGCAAAACTTGGAAGTTCCAAGCTTCCATTTTGTCTACCTTATACCACTGCCAGTGTAAGCCAAGTGGTTACCTGGTTTGGCCACTTAACCTTGATTTCTGGGGAAAGATGAAAAAATTGTCGGTGTTTGTCAGGTCATACACTAAGGTTTTTAGTATGTGGGTCATGTTTCTGGTTAAAAATTATGAAACAACAGTGTAATTTTTAAATTGTGTGCTCACCAAACTAAATGAAACTGTTGCCTTTTTTTTTTCTTCACAAAATTAACATAAACTATCATTACATATAGCACCTTTCATCTGTATACAGTGGAATATAGTTCTACATTCTAAATTACTGCAACACTGCTGTCACAACTGTGTTTGTCTTTCAAGATTTCCCTGTGTGCTGTGTTTCACTTTCATTCTATATGATGGTTTGTGCATTTATGATTCCTATTGCCGGAAGATGATTCGTAATAGAACCCAATTTCTTTAGATTCAACAAATTTATATTTAAAAAAAAAATGTGTTCAACCCAAGAACCTAATTTCACATTCAGGTTTTAATTTTTCCAATTCAGATTCAGATATTTTCCCCATTCAGATTCAGATATTTTCCCCAACTCGCATTCAAGAAATTTAAAAAATAAAAAAATAAAAAAATAATTTCACAACCTGAAACACAATTCTAATTTTTTATTTGCTCAATCAAAACCCTAATTTTTCCATGTGTGTGTGTGTGTGTGTGTGTGAGAGAGAGAGAGAGAGAGAGAGAGACCTTAAACAGAGTGGTAGCATAAATAATGTAGTTCCTCATCCTTCCCTAAGTGGTTATACGAATCTCATTCTTAATCGGCGTCTTTGGCCACGGTTTCTCTACCCTCTGATACCAATCCATCTAAACACAAAAAACCCAAAATCAAAAACACAATTTTTTCTCCAAAAAATCAAAAAAACAACAAGAAAACAACAAAAGGGTACACAAAAATTAGATCTGAAGAAGGGAATAGGAAGAGGGGTAACCGTGATGAGTGTTGAGTGAGTTCGGAACGGGTAAAAGGTAATGGAAGTCTCTGAAAACCAGCTCTCGCCTTTTGCTAGTCTCCATGGCAGCTCTGGATCGATGAATTGGGTGAGAGAAGAGCCATGGCCGTTGTGGGTTGTAGAGAGAGAAATTAGAGGAGAGAGTGAGAGAGAGTGAGAATATGATTTAAGGGTTTGAAATGGAAGTGTGGTGGAGGAGTAGAGATTTAGGGTTTGAAATGGAAGAGTGTGGTGGAGTAGAGAGTAGTAGTAACTTCTGCAGATCACTGAGCTTTTAGCATTCGTGTAGAGAGAGACAACTACGCCAATTCGAAGATTATTTCATTTTACATTTGGCGCCAGAGTATTTTACTTTTGGCGCCTATTTTTATTTTGGTCATATTACTCATTACTCACGACAGGAATTACATGTCGTAAAAAGTAAAATATTTTTAACAGTTAGTATATGTGCATCGTGAAAAGTATATTTTTTAATGATTGACTTTTTGTGTGCCGTAAAAAGTGTAATATTTTTAACGACTGACTTTTTGTGCACCGTAAAATGTTTAATATTTTTAACAACTGGTACGCGTGTTGTATCAATCAGTTAAAAAAAAAAATAACAAAATGAACAAACAATAAGAACAATGATAAATAATCTGCCAATTACACTGTGAATCTCCCTCGCACCACATTTTCCAGAACAAGTGTAAGTGTTGGTGCAGTGTCTGTGTAAATGCATATCTATATATATACATACAGCCTAATATATATAATCTAGGGTTTTAATAAATCGTGTCTCTAAACATGGATTAAGAAACAAAGTCAACAAAAGAAGATAGTACAATGGCTTGCCTCTCCATTTGTGAGCCAAGTTTTGAAGAGTTCTTCGCTATCTGTACGAAGATTTTGCAAAACCCAATTGGGAAAGATTCTTGAAACCCAACATTTCCATGGTTGGCACTGGCATTCCAATCGAGCTCTCCATCAAGGATTTCAAGAACAACTCTTCACTTGGTTTCCTATAGAAATCTGAAGAACACCTTCCTTCCATCTCCGTGAAATTCTTTCCTGCCTCACTCTGAACTGCCTGAGATTGGAATGAACTCAAGTTCTGCTGGCTGGTCCCCGGCTTCACAAAAGAACCATCTGCTGAGCTTCCCTTGTTTCTGCCATTTACCATATTACCCAATAATCCACTTTGAATCAGAACATTCACAATAGATTGTATGACATGAAAGAAAAGAAATATGCCACTGAATGATATAAAAAATTATAACCATATAACTGTCACAAACCTCAGTTATAACAAAAATCCTTCTAAACCAGCTAATCAAGGCAAACTGCTTATGACCAAAAAATGTTTTTAGGATTCAAACTCTACACAAATATAAGACTTGAGAATGAGTATATCTTGGATAATCACGGAAGGATATTACGGATCACTGTCTCTTAACAACAATCTACCCCTTAAAACATAGAATTTTGCATTCAATGAATAAAACTTGCGATGCTTCTCTATTTGATTAGCAGTATATGTATGGCTATTTGCAGGGTACCCAATTGGTGATTGTGTACAGAGACAAGCACTATAAACAAAACTCGAGTAGCAAGCAAGGCAAAGTCTGAAGACACGAACTTCAAACCAAACTACAATATGAATACAAAGGAGAAATGATGTGTACAATGATTAAACAACACTGTTGTGTGTATTTTCTTTCTCTTTTCTTTTCTTTTTTGTGTTCTTGAATTATTAACAAACAGATGGTGGGCATAATTTACAAAAATCAAGTCAGGGAATCAAATAATGCTAAATTGGATTTAGATTCCAAATACCATGCATGTCTTTTTCCTCAGTCAAATGAAAACCATTTCACATATACTAAGCAATTAACGGGCAGTGGCCTAAAAGGCTCAAGTCCTTTATAAGTAATTAACGGGCACAGTGGCCTAAAAGGTTCAAGCCCTTTATAAGATTCAAACTCAAGATTCACGGTTTCTAAATCGCTTATCACGGCTCAATTTGTCACTTGACTAACCCTTTAGATAGTGGCGCTCGCCAAGGAAGAGTGGTCGTACCGGTCAACCCAAGGCCTTACAGCCGAGATTCTGGCGCAAGCTTCTCGGCCGGGCTAACGGTGCGTGCCTTTGACCGAGCAACGCAAGTTGCACGGTTATCACCTGCGCAGATCCAAGTAGCTCGGTCCATCTCTAAGCAGCCCCAACTCTAGGCAAATCCAAAGTTATCGCGGCCCAACACACCATTGGGCCTCCAATTTGCTCGGCCTCTAACTCGGCCCATATCCGGCTCATAATTCTCTCTCTCATATGTATTTAGACAAAAATCATAGTTAAGAAAATTTTTTTTTCCTATGATTGTTGAATTTTATATTCACATGTATAACACGTGTCCTTGCTAGAGAAACATTTACGTCATGTGCATTCTATGCTTAAAATCTTATTATTTAAAATGAATGATTATATTATCATATAACACAAAGTAAAAATAAAACTAACAAAGATTTTAAAAAGGAAAGTGGGATTTTTTTTAAAAAAAATGATTTAGTAGTTTCAAAAGACAAAAATTGCCGAAATTTATAGGTTATTGACACAAAATAAAATTAAAATGAATGATTATATTGTCATATAACACAAAAGTAAAAATAAAACTAACTAAGATTTTAAAAAGAAAAGTGATGTTATTTTTTTATTTAGTAGCTTTAGAATACAAAAATTATTCAAATTTATAGGTTATTGACACAAAGCAAAATTAAGAAATAAAAAGGTCATCCATTGAATATTTTTTAATTAAGTAGTTTTAGAATACAAACATTGTTAAAAATTATAAGTAGTGGATAGAAAATAAAGTTAAAATTTGTATAATAAAATATCAAGAATCCTTATTTTTTAACAACACGAAATTTAAATTTAAAAAAATTATAAGTGGCATTTAACTCTTATCTAATTTTTAACCTACTATATCTCAGTTCTTATTTTTGAGATTTATTTATTTATTTATTTATTTATTTATTTTTTTACAAATTTTAAAAAACTATAGGTGACATTTCACTCTTATCTAGTTTTTAAACTAATACCCCTCTTCTGTTATTCTATTATTAAAGTCATATTAGATTTTTTTTTTCTAGGCTTATCTTATTTAATTTTTGAATTTTTAAATTTCAACTTGAATTATTTTTTTCAATTTTCATTTGATGTTTTTTGAATTTCTCTCTATCTCATTTTTCTAGAATTTATTTAATTTTCTCTTTCTATATTCTTATAATTTTTCTACAAACGTAAACTTGATTTTTGTATCTTTATCTTATATATACATAATCCACTCTTACTCTTAATTTTCAATTAAGTTTATTTTTTTTCAAGAATTTATCAAATTTTTTCTTTCTATGTTCTTATAGTTTATCTTCAAATTTAAACTTAATTTTATTTTTATTTTTTTTATCTTATATGAAAAATCTTAAAACCGTGAGATGTTAATTTTTGGTAATGATTTAATTTTGAATAATGAATAACAATTCTCAATCAAACATTCATAGATCTAATTCAATTACACAAGAATTGAATTATATCTACTAATCACTCACCAGAAACACAAAGCTTGTGTCATCTTGAAGCCAAACCAATTATTCTTCTGATTTCTACAAGTTCTTTTTCGACGACGAAAACGTCTTTTTTCTTGGCCCTGACTTACGCAGCATGTATTGGCTGGACGCATGGCTAAATAGCTGGGAGACTAGAAGGTCTAGTTAAAACAGTAGCAGAATTGCTGTATTCAACTCCTAAAGCCATTTCAAATCAACCGATGACTTACGATTCACAGTTGCAAATTCTGGAATTGGGATTTAGAGAAGATTATATGGATCACAATGGCAACATTCAAATGTATAGTCTAGACGAGAAAAGCAAAATTTGGAATGTGATTTGGCAAACCAAATCTAAACCGTGCAAGATCCATGATAATTAAATGAAAAAAATTGGATAAGTTGTATCCTCAATTCAAGATAAAAGATACATATTTTATTTTATCTCCACAACTAAAAGATGGAGATCCCTAAGGATCCCACCTACATGCAAACTCTATCATGTGTTGTGTATATATATCAGACATATTTGATAAAAAAAATTGGCCATCAGAATTTTTAAGGTCTGTTTAGTGAGGTATTATCAACAACACACTTGGATTGAGATATTTTAGATTGTGTAATCAGGTGGTGTTTCTTTGAAAAATTGTTTTTCAAATAAAGTTTTTTCTGCAAACTTTCACTTACTCTCGCCATATCTTCATCTAACTTGATTGTCGGAGGGTCCACAGGAAGGAACCATCTCTATTTCGGAACCTTCCTACTGGACTTGTTGTAGGTGTGATTAGGAAGACGAAGGACAGTCAACCTGTAAAGTGCTTGGATCAGTCCGACCCATCTTCTACCGACAAGACTGCATTATCAAATCCGATGATTGTTTCTTATTGAATCTAGTTTCCATGAAAAAGATTGTGCTTCCACCATTGCAATCCTATCCATTCCTCTTTTGCATTCTATCATCACCCCCCACCGATCCCAACTGTGTACTCATTTTTGTCTGTCAAAAAAAAAAAAAAAAAACCAAGTGCCATGATTTGTCACCTGGGTGACGGTGAATGGACCAAACAACATTTAAGATCTGTTGAATATTTTAGATGTGCTACCGTATGTGGAGGAAAGATTTATGGCCTTACTCTAGATGGAACTCTGCTTATGGTAGACGATGTTGGCTCTAATCTGGTTGTGACACAATTGGGGTCAGAGAAGGCACCAAGTCCATCAATTCCAGGGACATCAAGGTCGGATCATAATTTAGTTGATTCATGT